TTGGTATAAGCCTAAAGTAAAGACGTAGTGTGGGATCACCTAGCCTAGAGCCAAGTGCACAACATTTATCATGAAAGTAAAAATATCAATTCAATTTTAAACTTAAATCGTTTCTGAATTAATCTATTTTCTGTTATATCATAAACATTTTAATATAAAAAAACCTCTTTAATCAACGGATACTTTAAATTAAGAAATCAATAAATATATTTCCAGTCTTGTTGTCTGTACATTTCATTTTATATTTTCAGTACATAGACTAACAACATGACATAAAAGCCATTGTTGGAACGTATTGTTATCAAAACGCACTGGCTTTTCCATACATTAGAAATTGTTAATCTAACTGATTTTTACCAATAATTATTGTATGAATACGCCACGAATTAATTTCATGAATGATCTTAATTTTAATTGGCTCAGAAAGGAATTTACTGCACTTTTCTGCCTCTTTGTTGGTCAGGCTTGATTTCGCAAAATTTATTTATTTCAGTTAGCTAAGAAATGTGAGGTTAGGGTATACTATGTGGTGGGGGTTGTAATATTTGGCCCGTAATTTTTGACGGGTTATACGCTAGTACTTTTATTATCACACATAGATAGATATTGACGAACTACCGGGAACGAATATAATAATCAGAGAACCTTTTAACAAATAACTGCCTCTCGAAAATGTCAGAAGAACTGCCGGAATTAATATATATGTTTTTCAAATGCAACTTAACTTCTGAAAGAAGATGTCTGTATTTGTGTCCGGCGTCAGAGGTCACAAAAAACATTCCAAAATAGTGATTGTCTCATAGATAGATAGTATGTAGTGATTGTAATATACAGAACGGAGTGTTTTTTCATACAGGATATTAAAGTATTTATTATTATATGAACTTACTCGTTTTTATCTGGTAATCATAATCGTCGGCATCCGTGAAAAAATCTACCTGGAAAGATGGTAAATTACAGTAAATATACTTGAAAAGATGATAAATTATGGTAAATATAAAATTCAGTGGTTAAAAATTAAAAACCGTGCACAATTTTTACGTTTGGATTTATGGACCCATATTGACTACTATATAATTCTGTACGCAAGAGATTTGTTTATACGTAAATATACTTACATTTATAATCAATTAATAGCAAGAGTATTGTAGTTTTCAGTACGTTGACTTACAAGTAATATGCTAGTCTTGGATCAGTAAGTTTAAATATATAAAACTAATCAATGTTAAATAGTAACGACCTGTAACAAACTTTTCACTAATATTTTTAATATTAATATAATATTTATTAAGTATACCATTTCAACACATTAAGTTTCAAGAATAAAATACTCAGTCAACAATTGCAGCTTTGTATCCAAAAACTTTTAGCTCTATATATAGTTCCGTTATTAACCTTTAATCATTTTGGTTCGCTTGTCATTGAGTTCCTGATTCACTACCTCAATAGCTTTGACCTTCAAAATTGACAGCCCACACGAAAATGAGAAAACTCAATATCATTCATCACATTTATTATTCTAAAAAAATTATCAACAAAATTATAACTTTTTGTCTGTATTGAGGACCACTTGTTTAATATTTCAAGTCGTCTGAACACAGTTTGTTATTCAAGTACAACAATTTAAACCTTGGAAAAAAAGGATGACTCAAACTTTTATTCACACATGTTCAACGTTCTACTTTTGAAACTATGTTTATGTGGTTAGGGTACCTGGACTGTGAAGTCGAGAGTTCTTGGTTCGTGCCCTATAAACGCGTTTCACACTTTGGGGTCGAGGATACATTATAAGAATGACAATTAAATCCGACTATCCGGTCAGGTGAGAGTAATCCAAAAGTTGGCAGTGGTGTGCAGATAGCCCTTGTGTGGATTTGCTCGAAAATTATAAAAACAAATCCTTTGTTTAAGGTAAAGTAAGAGAAAGCGGAATTTTGAGATATGAAAATCCGAGTTGTGTAACTTTATCTAAACATACACCTGATTGCGTAATGTTTTTATCAGGACACTGAAACTCAAGCTAAATTATGCTGAACATAAAACCGTGTTCTATTTATTCATTTTTTTCTTGACTTTCGTAAAAATATTTTTCGTTGTGTCTGACAGTAACAGTGTTGGTACAGGGTAAGAGTGAGTTGAGATTGGATGTTGTTTTTCTATTATTTGCAAACAGGGTCTGAGGGAGCCATACATTTTTAATACGTTAAGGCGAATACAACATACAAAAGTTGTGTTATTATAATTTATCAGGTCTTAGGAGGATAAACTGCACCGTTAGTAACAAAATAGTATCATAAGACGTTTTAGACAGCTATCACGTACAATCAAAAGAACTTTAAACAACTCTGACGTCCAATCAAACTTTTGAGGTAAACTGTATTCGTTTTTGGTTGTTTTTTGCATAAGTTTTCTTTTTCTAGACATATTTTGATTCTACAAAAACCTGGAGCAAAATTATCTCTCGATTATTCGAAACAAATTTAAGAAGGTATTTTTCCGGTCAAGTTTCAATTAAATCTTGATTGGGCCAATATGGTCTAGTGGCTAGCATGTCGGGCAATAGATCAAACGGACCAAGGTTCGAGACGTAATGCTTCTGAATACGTTCCATATAAAAATGACGGCCCGGCATGGCCAGGTGGTTAGGGCGCTCGACTAGCAATCTGCGGTCGCGGGTTCGAATCCCCGTCTCACCAAACATGCTCGCCCTTTCAGCCATGGAGGCGTTATATGACGTCAATCCCACTATTCGTTGATAAAAGAGTAGCCCAAGAGTTGGCGGTGATGACTAGCTGCCTTCCCTCTAGTCTTACACTGCTAAATTAGGTACAGCTAACGCATATAGCCCTCGTGTAGCTTTGCGCGAAATTTAAAACAAACAAACAAACAATGAAAATGACACTCGATCCCATTATTGTGTTCAAAGACCTTGTAGTAGCGTGTGCTGCTGATCTGCGACCGTTTCTTTGTTCAGTAGTTCAAAATTAACGACGACTATACCTAGAACCCAAGTGTCTCTGACTTGACCAGTTTAACCCACGTGTGCATAATGTGACGTTCAGGTTGAAAATTGCAGTTCCAGTTTTAATAACTGACGTAAGGTTCATAAACGTTTATTGAGAAATAGTTTCAGTTGATGAAAATGTTTTTAATCACATTCGTTGAAATCTAATGCTTGGTTCCATCGTAAAAATAATTCAAGCTTTTGTGTACTGTTTTTTGACACTTTTTTTTACCAAAACACTCTTAAATTACACGAAAACAACCACAGGAAACAAAGGGAAGAGTGTGAATGTATGAGTGAAAGAATCGTGTCTTTATATAAACATACAAAGTGTGTAATAAAAAAGTTGATAGGATTTATAATGATAATCAGTTTTGTATAAAGTTGTATAACTGTCTGTGAACAGAATAAAAGACGAAACAAAATACTCTTTATTATACATGTGAACACCCAACTACACAAACATGCACAAAAACGCCCATATATTTTACATACATTATATATAAATATCGTAAGTAGGGCAGAGTTACATGGGGTGGGGGGTTGCTGCCGTTACCGCTTTTATGAAAGGGTGCCAACATTGAGACTGATATTGTGAATATATTATACTGTATATGTATTAAACAAGTAGTGATCATGACCGAGTTTGGAAAAAATGCAAGTTTATTCCCTTCAGTAAAAAAAGGAAGTTAACGAAGTAGTTAAATAGTTTAAGGGAACTTCATAAAAAAATCACGTAATTTGTAAGCGTAGATGTCATGCAGCTTAGTTATAAGTAATATAGATATTATAGTGGGTTACCACAGTTCATATCTTGTATTCTGTTGGTACAACGCCCTTGTGAGTTAGGGTGCGCTGAACACAGTCCTTATGGGGTTATATATATATATCACAATCTTTTCTATTATATTTAATCATCAGTTAACCCTAATGAAAAGCCATTAGCACAAAACTACAGAGACATACAGTTGTACATGTAGGATGGCAATTTGTAGCAGTTTGCTGGATCTACATCCTCAGCAAAACTATTTGTGAAAGTAACCTCAATTTATTACTGGTCAGATTATGGTGTCAACCCCCCCACCTCCTCCCCAATGTAACTTATGGACGGAAACTGCAATATTTGAACATATACATTGATTTTATTCTGCGTGGTGATATTTTATTTTCTCAATTACATATCTGAAATAAACAAAAATAATTATATTTCGATACACCAATATCGTTACATATCGCTACTCATGCGTCAATATAATTACCTTGACAAAATGCTCAGCCGGTACAGCGTATTGCCACTGAAATTCTTACCTGTAAGCCATACCGACTTACTTTCACCACTGAGTAAAATCTACAAAGGGCAATTCAGTGACTAGTAATGGCATAGAATAGGTAGAAGAAACCAGTGAGTGAGGGAAGTTGGGATGTCTTTAAGATGACAAAAAAAAATCTACACAGAAGAGAAACTGATTTTAGAAAAAAAGGAGAAGAGAGAAAAGCATGCGGAAGAAGATGCACAAAAGACGGTTACAACGGACTTTCCCACGCCCGCTCCTAGAAATCAGAATGAACCCACAATTCTTCGTCGGTAATCCACCCATGGAAACGACGGTATATATATATATATATATAGGGCAATCCGACTCCCTCACTACTGCCAAACTTGACCGCCTCGATCTCACGTGACAAGGTACGAAAGCATCAACAAAGCAAAGCTCTGTGAGCTGTCAACCCTATTATTTTTCGTTGACAAAAGATGTGATAACAGTTCTCAAGAAAGATTCCATAATATACTGTTTTTGTTAGTCACTTGACCCACGTGTTTTTTCCCTGTTCTATTCTCCAGCCTGAACACAATACCAGACTGAATTTACAGGCGTGTGACAGTATATAGTGGCATAGTACCGGGAACGAATATAATAACCAGAGAATATTATAACAAATAACTGTCTGCTGTCGACAGTTAGTGAGAACAACTGCCAGAATTAATATGTATAATTTTAAACTACAATTTAATTTCCGAGGGAAGGTGCTTCTATTTGTGTCCGGCGTCAGAGGTCATAACGTATACTCCAATATAATGATAGATAGATAGATTCAAGGGCGAAATGATACACTTGCAGACGAATTGGGATAGATAGATTGCTCGGACAAATACACAGATAAACGAACAGAAATTAAGTAGTTATTTAATGCTCAACTTGCCTAAGTGAAACAGACATCAACTGAAAAATTATAAGGTACACTACAATACCAAATGATAGTAGATAGACAGGTAAATAGAATATAGAATAGATATAATACGGAGCATGTGTATTACGCATTAGTATTATTATTTAACTCATATGCTAGATAAGTTGAAAGACAAAGCTTATCCATTTCAATAAAACAAATAGTTAAAAAAATGTTGAATAATTTAGTGAAACTTGATGTGGTTGGTCGAAATAGTTCAGGTAAAATACTAAACTGGTTTTGGTTTGAAGGTGAACTTTGTTTAGATTTTATCAACTGTTATAACAACTAGAAACTAGGTGACCCACTTCTGTTTCTAAACCGTAGGATATAAAACGTACTTTTACCATTTTTCTGTTCATATTTTTTATTTGTTTTTTACTTCGCAATTAGTTCTTATTTATCCACCCATAGCATGTGTTCTCGAAATAAATTGGGGGAGGGGGGGGGGTCTTAAATGACTCGTGAATGACGTACATTTTGCACCTGTTTGTATGTAACACAAGAATGCAGTAAGTTGAACTCGCTGGTTTAGGTTCGCCCCAGTACAGTTAATATATATTTATCTATATTCAAATATGAGTTTTGAAAAATTATATTTAAATTAATCTAAGTTAACAACGTATTTTTAATGTCAATATTAACCGCAAAAGAAACATAGAATATTTTTATACATTTTTATATGCTTTAATTAAAATTTTTCGTGATTACT